GACGGATAATCGAGGGAGAAGAACCACCATTGCAAGAAGAAAACACCAATGAAATCGAGGAACCTGAAGCAGAAATTGATGACATCCTACTCATTGATCCTCATAATCGTGAATACGAAGATGTCCCTGATCACTCAACGGACGACGTTGTTGAGGACGAGTTTGCCGAAAATGATGATGTTTCTACGGATTATGAGAATGTATCCGAATGAATTATGTATGTTTTATAAGTTTGTTTAATCACAAAAACCAATTTCAATTAAGTATGTTTTATAAGTTTGCTTAATAACAAAAAAAAGAGTTGAATTACGTATGTTTTTAAGCTTGTTTAATAAAAAAAATGAATTTGGGATTTAGGTGTAGAAGAGGTTAGGAGTTTAGTTGTAGAATATGTTATAAATTAAGGAAGTTGTGGTTTGGGGTTTGGGGTTTCGAGTTTAGGGAATTACAAACCCTTTCCTCGTAAAGCCTTAGTAATAGAAAACACGCGCATAGCTATTTCCTCGTAAGCATCACTAGGACTTTACGAGGAAAAAAACGCGGGCATAGCTATTTCCTCGTAAAGGTTTTCCTCGTAAAGTCCCAGTGATATTATTTCTAGGACCTTACTAGGACCTTACGAGGAAATGAAAACACGGGCATAGCTGTTTCCTCGTAAAGCCCTAGTAATATTACTAGGGCTTTACGAGGAAACAAAATTCCTTATATACACGAGCAATCCGACTTCTCAGTCATAGTAAGTTCCTCTCCATATTCTCTTAAGGTATTCTCTAGTTCCTAGTTAGGTGATTAGATTAGGTGGTTAGTTTAGGGAATTTAGATTAGGTGGTTAGTTTAGGGAATTTAGATTAGGTGGTTTTGATTATGAATTTTAAATTACGTTTGTTTAACTGTTTTTTGTTTTCTGTTTTTTTTTTTTAAATTTAGATGGTTAGAAAGAGCAAAGTTGCTGCTGCTCAGTCCAGGAGGCCTTTAGATCAGGGGATTCATTATGCGGATATATTCGGGCCCGGTTCGTCTTTGTCAGCTCCCGGTGGTTCACCTTCGGGAGTTCCCGAGACTCAGGGAGGTTTTACGGCATCCCGGTCTCAGCAGCCACCTCCTCAGCCTCCTCCTCCTCCTCCTCCTCCTCCACCGGTCGGGATTCATCCTGACTTGCAGGTGCCGCCGAATGCACCATTTGCGGTGTACACGGTGGAGGATATCTTGGCCCTTCCAGGCAGAGAAGGGCTGCCAGAGTTAGATCCTTTCCAACGGGACGGCCAAAACGTATTATGGTACGTTTTAATTTTTACATTTTTTTATTAATTAATTTTTAGAAAGTGTTATGGTATATATATATATGTTCTAATTAATGATTTATTTTCTGTCTTTCCAGGTTTGGTCTTGATAATGCTGTCGGATCTAGCGTCACGGACTGTATCAAGGGATACTTTCCCGATGCAGCTCCAAACTGGAAGCTGACGGCGAGCCACACCAAAAAGACGTGGTTCAAATCGTTTGCTGTAAGTTTAGTAAATCAATTTAATTTATTTTTAATCATTTAAATTATGAATTATATTGAATTAATCCGTCTTTTATTTTTTCTGGTTGCAGCAAAAATACCGTTGGTCTTTTGGGATTCACCAGCGGGTGAAGTCAGAGTTCGAGACCAAGGCAAAAGCACGATTGTGCGACATGGTCTACAACTGGAAGGGCGACTTTCAGGTATAATTAAATTTAAAAATTATAATATATATTAATTATAGTTTTAAAAATATATATTATTGACTTAAATTCTAATTATTTCAAATCAGGTGAACGGTTACGAGCGCGGGAAACCCGATTGCCTCACAACCACGGTGTGGGATGGCCTCATCAGCTATCAGACGTTGCCGGATTCGATTAGAACGTCCAATACAAACTCCGGGAACCGCATGGCCACAGACGAGCATGGCAACACGAAGATACTTCACACCACGGGCCGAAAACCTCACGGGGGAGTTCGTCTAGACATGGTATTTTTTTATAACTATTAAATTTTTCCTTTATTTTATAATTCTAATATTCTAAATTAACATTTAATTTTTAAAAAAAATAAAGGCTAAAGAGACAGGAGTTCTTCCATCTCTTAAAGACCTTTACGAGCGGACCTACCGGAGGAAGAGTGGGCAGTTTGTAGATCCTGCTTCCGAGCGGATCTACAACGAGGTTGCTGCCCGAGTTGACGAGCGCCAGACCCAGTTGACTCAGCAGACTGGGGCTCCGGTCGTATTATCCACTCTTGAAGTGGATAAGATTTACGAGGAGATAAATAATTTCTTTCAATATATCAATTTTTCTTATTTATTTAAATTTTTTGCTTTGGTTATTAATATTTTAATTTACAGGTCGTTCCGAGGAAAAAGGGCCGTGTTATCGGGATTGGCTCGGTTAACGATGTCCCCGCAGTGACATCGGCTTATGTTCACCAACAAGCCGATGACAATGCTCCGCTGCGGACGGAGTTGCAGGCGACGCAGTCTCATGTGCGTACGCTCACGGATATCCTCGACATTGTGGCGGTTGGAAACCCACAAGTGGCGGAAGTGTTGCGTCAGAGACGGGAAAGCGGAACCCTTCCATCCCAAGAGCCTCCACCATCTCAGTCACAGCCGGCATCCAACATTGGAGACGACGACTTCGTGAACCAATTTCAAGACCAGCATCCTTTTTAGTTTTTTTTTTAGTTTTTAATTGTATATTATGAATTTTAAAACTTATTAATTGTATATTATTTAGTTATTTATAAATATTGTTTTTTATTTTTTAAATTTTTTTATATATATAATTTTAATTTATAAATATTTTTTTTTAAATAGGAAAAAATTGTTTCGAAGCAAAATCCTCGTAAAGGTTTCGAAGTAAATTCCTCGTAAACTTTCCTAGCAAGTTCCTCGTAAAGAATCTATTACGAGGTTACGAGGAAATATTTTACTATGCTCTTACGAGGAAAGCCTACGTGGAGATTACGAGGAGACCTTTTCCACGGCTTTACGAGGAAAATTTTCCTCGTAAATTAGCTTGGCAATTACGAGGAAAATAGGCTTTACGATGAACGTCTTTCGACGAAACACGTTTCCTCGCTATTTCCTAGTAAATGGCCATTTACTAGGAAATAACGAGGAAAACCCGTCCTATTAAAAGACAGCGTTTTCTTGTAGTGCGAAAACTTGTTCTTTTTATCTTTATTTTTCTAAGTTCAAGACAGAACTAACTTATATATATAGCCTTATTGAAAAGTTAGACATGAAAATTTCTTTTTAAAACTAAAAAGAAATCTTCTAAAAATCTCGAAAGAATTTGAAGTTTTTTAGAAATTTGAAAAAAGGAAAATCATTCATATGCAGTTAATTTAAGGATTATTAACAAAAAAAAAAAACAGGACATTTTACGTTAGTTATTCACAAACCTTTGATGAAATATTTTTAAACGATTTGATTGAATATTTCGTCCAAAAAAAAAATAGTAACTAGAAAAATTTGGAAATGTAACATTTTATGGTTCTCTATTAAAAATAAAGTATTTTTAATTGTTATTCTCTTTTTTTTTTACTTGAATATAATGAATTTTGATTAAACCACTCGTAGACTTATTAGCAAACAATCATTGGGCTATAAACTACCAAAGAGGCCCCGAATTAAACGGTCCATAAATACAAACTAAAATACTACCCGACAAACTATACACCCTACCACATCTGATCACGCCCCTGTTTTCGCACCAAATTTCCCTTAGACCCTTTCTGTTGCCCTCAAGAATTTCCCGGGAAAAAAAAAAAAAGATAAGCGCAAATCTGAAACCCTGGAGGAAAGAAGCAGCAAGAGAATCAAATCAAGCATGGAGGTTGAAGAAGAAGATCTTCCAAAGAAGCCCTCTTCTTCTCAGCTAAACCTCCCACTCTCAATGAATCGCCCCACGGTCTCACTCGAGACCCAACGAATCAACCGTTTAATCCATTCCGACCATTACCACTCTCCCTCCAAACCAATCTACTCCGACCGCTTTATTCCCAGTAGATCCGGTTCTAACTTCGCTCTCTTCGGCCTCGAACCGTCCCCTAATAAAGAAGATGGGCCCGGTTCTTACGCCGGTATGCTCAGGACCGCGCTTTTCGGACCGGAGACGCCCGAGAAGAGGGATATCGTTACTGGGTTCTTCTCTCCCTCCAGGAATATTTTCCGGTATAAGACGGAGACGCAGAGGCCGGTTAACTCTTTCTCGCCGTTTGGTGGGTCTGGTGATGATGAAGAGTCTCCTGGTGTTAGCCGTAGCCCTGTGAAGGCAACTAGGAACATTCTCAAGTCGGCTTATAAGGTTAGGGTTCTTGAAAGTTTTGAGCTTTTAGGGTTGCTAGTGTGAATTTATGTGTTTTCTTGGATGGGTTTGTGTATTGTTGGTGTTTGAGTTTATTTATGTGTGAAAGTTTTGTGAAGTCTCTGCTAGTGTTGTAGTTAAATCTTTGATTAGTGTATTTTGTGGTGTTTGAGACTTGTGATTATGAAATGTTATCTCTTTGAGTGTATTTATCTTTGAGATCTTTGTAAAATCTCTGCTAGTGTTGTAGTAGACGTTTTTGATGAATGTGTGTAATGGCTACTCCTTGTTCTGTGAGTCAAAATGTAGATTTTTCCTAATGTTGCATTTTGTTTATGAGACTTGAGTTTCTTGATTGTGCTCGTGAAATTTCATGAAGATTGTGTAATGGCTACTCTTTGTTGAATGATTACAAATGTAAATTATACCTCATACTGCATTTGTCCTGTGGATGTTTTGTTGTTAGGTATTAGTGTGAATTTTTGTTTTTATTTGATGGGGTTTTTTTACTGTTGGTGTTTGAGACGTGCGATTCTTCATTGTGTTCCTAAAAATTAATCTCTTTGAGTGTATTTATGTGTGAGATCATTGTGAAGTCTCTGCTAGTGTTGTGGTGAACTGTATTTGAAGAATGTGTGTAGTGCCTACTCTTTATCCATTCATTACATTTGTAGATTTGTTCTGATATTGAATTTGTCCTGTGGATGTTGTTGTTGTTAGGTATTGGATGCACCGGCTCTGCAAGATGATTTTTACTTGAATCTAGTGGATTGGTCGGCACAAAACGTTCTAGCAGTGGGATTAGCCAACTGCGTCTATTTGTGGAATGCTTGTACTAGCAAGGTGAGCTTTTCTTTTCTTCCTGACTCATTTCTTTTCTTAAAGAGTGTTCAAGAGTTTTAGACTTAGAATCCCTTGCTTCTGTTTGCAGGTAACTAAGTTATGTGATATCGGGGACGACGAGAGCGTTTGCTCAGTCAGTTGGGCACTGCGTGGTACACATTTGGCGATTGGAACTAGTAGCGGAACTGTAGAGGTAAGTTAGAAACAAAATACATTTGTCTCTTGGAGTCTATGACAAATGGCTTGTGGAGGACTTACTCTTACTGTTTTATACTTTCATTAGATTTGGGATGCGTTGCGCTGCAGGAGAATAAGAACGATGGAAGGTCATCGACTACGAGTTGGAGCCTTAGCATGGAGCTCATCAGTTTTGTCTTCTGGTAGCAGAGACAAGAGCATACTTCAGAGAGACATACGGTGTCAAGAAGATCATGTCAGTAAACTAACGGGTCACAAATCCGAAGTCTGTGGACTCAAATGGTCTTATGACAACCGCGAGCTAGCATCAGGCGGAAACGACAATAAGGTAAATTATATAATCTTCATTCTTTGTGTGTAAGAAGGCATCAATTTTTGGGAACATGGTTAATGATTATAGTGATCTTGCAGCTTCTTGTATGGAACCAACACTCAACACAACCGGTTTTGAGATACTGTGAACACACAGCAGCGGTTAAAGCCATTGCGTGGTCTCCTCATCTCCACGGACTTCTTGCTTCAGGTGGTGGCACTGCTGATAGATGTATCCGTTTCTGGAACACAACGACGAACACTCATTTAAATTGCGTAGACACCAGTAGTCAGGTAACCTTGGTTATGCTGGCTTTTATTAAAAACCGAACAACACTTCACATCGTATTGTATTCAGGTGTGTAATTTGGCTTGGTCTAAGAACGTGAATGAGCTTGTGAGCACGCACGGATATTCCCAAAACCAAATCGTTGTTTGGAAATATCCAACCATGACTAAAGTAAGAGTGTTGCTGTCTTGTTTATTTTCAGTTTCTTGTTGACTTTTGCGGAGTTTTAAAGAACTGAAAATGTTATTTTATCTTACAGTTAGCAACTCTGACGGGACACACGTTCCGTGTTCTGTATCTTGCTGTTTCACCAGATGGACAGGTTTAGCCATTTACATAATTCATATTTTGTTTGTTTATCTACACTTGCATCAACATACTTGTCTTGTTTGTTGCCAGACGATCGTGACAGGAGCAGGAGATGAAACCTTAAGGTTCTGGAATGTCTTCCCTTCCCCAAAATCTCAGGTAAAGAACATGGTCTGTTTCCTTAAACCTTTAATCACAATGTAGATGACCCCATTCTCTTTTTAAATTCTCAGAGCAGGGAGAGCAAAATAGGGGCGTTGACTTTTGGTAGAACAACAATCCGGTGAATCTTTAGATGATTATTTCCAATCTCCGGCGAAGAAGATAATACTCATCCGCGTCTTAGTTAGTCGTCCTAACCAAACCTCCCATAGATTTTGTAGTATTTTTATCTTGTGGATGCAGTAATATTAGTGAAGTTTTTAGTGTGGTCTGGGGTTCTTTTAGATTTTTCTTCACTGGTTTGTAGATTGCATTTATCTGTGTATATATAATAATGTTTACTACACCAAAGAGTGTAGAATGGAGATTTCTTTTTGCTTTAAGATGAGCTTTTCTATCATTTTCAACCAACCCACGGGTATTGGCCAGGTTTTCAGTAACAGAACCAGAACGACTTAGAGTTATTACCAACAAAATCTCCTCCATATATGGGGCTGGACACACTTACTTGATATCCAGTTTAATATCCAGTGTATATTTGCTTCGTTATTTGTTGGCCATTAATTGTTATATATATTATTTGGGTTATTTAATATTTGGTATTATTTTGTTAGTTCAATAAAAATATATGTATTGCATTTTCATTACAACTAAAACAATTGTATATTTAAGTATCAACTAGATTTTGATCCGAACAACCGTGCGGGTTTTTTTTTTTATGTATAGTTTATAAAAACAATTATCAATATATAACAATATATTTACTTATAAAATATCAAAAATATTAAAGTGATAGATATTAAAATATCATTTTTAAACACAACATGAAAATATAAATTATCATTAACATATAACATTAAATGTATAAAATATAACATAAAATTTAAATCATTTTTTATAATAATAGCAAAGTTTTATATTTATAAAAAGAAAAATATGTGTGGATCAAACTCTAGTATATAGTTTTTTTCTTTAGATTTTAGGAATATATAGTGCTATCTAGATTAAATTTAATTTCTTAAACAAAAACATTTGTATTTCAAATAAAAGATAAATATATGGGGTGGGTTTATAGTTAAATTATGTAAAATTTGATAATTGTTTTAAAGAATGGTCCAAATAAAAAATTTACACATGAAATAACTCATGAATTATTTTAATAGTATAGATAGATAAATATATAATAATTTTGTATATTTGAAATATAATTTCAGTATTTGTTTATAACATAATATATTTAAATTTTTTAAATTAGTATTTGCTAAATTTCAACAATTTCTCATTAAAATATAATTATAAATATTTTTGGTAATTTTAAATTCATTTATAAATAAGATAATAATTTTTACTAATATTTTATAATAATAATTATAATTTAAATTCATTGATTTACAGAAATACAATTTAGAAAGATTCTTAAAATATTTTGTTGGATTTATTCATTTGTATTTCAAACAGAAAATAAAGATATTCAAAGATATTGTCATTAAATTATGTAACATTTGATCATTTTGATAATTTTTCTAAAGAATAGTCCATTTTAAAAAAAAAAATCACACATGAATCAAGGTTATGACTTATGTCTTAATATATAAGATATGAAATTTGAATTGAAGTTCAACAAAATTAAACTATTGGGCTAGTACCAATTTCATTTAGCCCAATGAAAAATCTGGAGTTTATATATATCTTATCTTACTATACTAAAATGAAGATATAAGCTCCATTGAACATATCTACCTCAGCAAATTAAATCAGCCAATGAAATATAATTTTCTTGCCATGTCACTATTTATCCTCTACTTTTTATAACTTAATTCCCTTCGTTGATCCTTGCAAGATGAGAGACGATGACGTTTCAGCTTCCATTGTAACTCCATGTATGAGGATAAATGTAGATGCATTTAATAAAACAGTTAATGTATATATATTATGTGTAAAGTATAAATGGAGTTACATATAAACAAATACAAATGGTGTGTTAATGTGTTTGGTATAGAAAAAATGAGTTAGTCGACGGAGGTCGAGACTAAATTGGTGTGGCTTAGGTCAAACTTTCCTTCACGATAGAGGCAACACATTTGAGACTTGAGAGTTGCAAAGTGATGTCCCCAAACCAGAAAAAATCTCTATATATGCCTAGCTCAACGAATATGAAGGTCTTTGCAAACTTATTATATTTTTGTATCTATTATTATTATTATCTAAAAATATATTAATAGTTAAAATTAATTACATATTTACTGTTATATTTAAAATTTTAATATTATATTTCTGTATACACAATTACACATTTTAACAATTTAAAAATAATTCCTCATATATATTGGTTTATATACTACTTTTCATGTATTTAAATTAACAAACGTTTGATTTGTAGTCATATCTCAGTTTATAGAGGTCAAAAAAAAAATTGAAACTTATTTATTCTACTAAAATAATTTTTCATACATATCGGTTTATATACTACTCTTTCATGTTTTAATGAACAAACGTTTGATCTGCAGTCATATCTCAGTTTATGGAGGTCAAAAACAAAATTGAAACTTATTTATTCTACTTTTATCAAAATTAAATAATAGCACAAAACTATGGAAACAACGTCCATGCAGTAGAAAAAGAACAAAAAAAAACAATTACCCTAGAGTTCAAAATACTAGACAACTATATAATATTATATTTTACACATTTCTAATTCATGTAATGTTATAAATTACTAAATGTAATTACATTAGCCATATTTGAAAAATGGTTTCATTCCAATTGGTCTTCAACAACAGATTTCAAAATGATGATGTGAACTTAAAATAATATTCTACTTGTGTTATTAGATAAAAAAAAATACTGATGTATTTTTTCGTGACAAAATTTTGATCATTCACAACTAAAATAGTTAAATTTTAGATGTATTATTTAGTTTGCAAAAAGAAATAAAATAAACATACATTACATTCTCATCTTTATTGTGTTAATCATGTTATTATTTTTTGGTTTCGTATTATGGAAACCTATTTTACAACACATAATACATGATACATTAGAGAAACTAAAATAAAAACTTAAGCCTTTTTCAAAACTAAAAAATAAAAATAGAAAACTCTGTACTACAAAAACTATGCAGAACATATTAAAAACATTCGGTTTAAATGTGTAAATCCCCGCGTAGTATATAGAAAAATATATTTAAATAATAGAAAATTGTCAGATCACAATGATCCAATCATCCAAATAACAGACCACTATTTTAAAGGAATAGATAAATATGCAAAGTTATAAATTTTAAAATTACAAGTAACACGTCAAATTTTGGGACAAAAAAATGGAGTTCAATAAATAAAATTACATAAAGTTAACAAATTTTTAAAAATAAATACAAAAAACAACACAAAATATCAACCGCGCTACGCGCGGTTTAAGAATCTAGTAGTCCTAATAACTTATGTTTGAAAGTTGTATGTGTAATGAAATTGTCTTTTGGATTACAAGTATTTCATGTTTTATTTCCAGTAGTCAAGAAAAATAGGTTAAATAATTGAGAAGATGAGTATCAAACTAAGTTATGCTTGGAAGTTGTATGTGTATATGAAGTTGTTTTTGGATTTCGAGTATTTCATGTTTTATTTCAAGTAGTCAAGAAAAATAAGTTAAACTAATTGAGAAGATGAGTATCACACCAAGTCAAATAAAAGATAAAAGCAAGTAATGAAGTAAGTAAAGTAATTTAAAAGTATTCAAAAAAAATTATAAGTAATTGATATAGAGTATTTTCACTTTAGACTTTGACTTTAGAGTTATGGCTGTAAAGATTTTACTTTAGAAAATTTTAAAAGCTTGATTAGTATCCAAATCTTTAGAATCTGTAAATGTTATAAATAAATAAATAAATATATATATATATATATATGATTCATTTCTATTTTTTATTTATACAAGTCCATAAGATATATTAGAAAATTTAAAAAATAAAATTAATCTAATTAATCAACAATATATTTTATTTGTTTATTGTAAAAATTTGAAATTGTAACAAACGAATTTAATTTTTATTAAATTTAAAATAAGATTATAATCAGTGATCGAAGTGATTAATGACGATGATTAATCACTTCTCAATAATTTATGTTTTCTCCTTGATTTTGGAACCAATTTAGGTGATACTGTTCTTCTTTAGATCTTTGACTATTGAGATTTTGGTTTTAAAACTATGACTAGTAGTAAAAGCCATAAAAATGAAATTTGTTATTTATACATGAAGATTTGTTATTTAAAATAAGATTTATGCTATTTCATCAACTTATTAAAAATAATATTTATTTTAATTTTAATGATACTTCCACTTTATATATGCATTAGGTTATAAATTTATCAAATTTTTAATATCAGTTAATAATTTTTTTAAAATAAATATTCAGATTAATAATAAAATTTTGAAAAAACGGTAGACAATATGGATCTTAAAATAAGGATTTTTAATGAAAACATCCTTCAATTAAGTTTCTTTTGGGTAAAAACCCTTCAATTAAAGATTTAACACATAAACCCCTCATGTTATGTTTTTAAATGAATTGATCCCTCCGTTAACAGTCCCATCAGTATTAAGCGTTGCGTTTTAATTAGTTCCTAAATTTACAAAATTTGTTAATAAACAACACGTTTGTTTTCTGTAAACATCGTAGAGTTAGCCCTTCTTCTATTAAAAAAAATCCATGTCTTCTAAAATCCCCAAATTGTCGACACTTTGTAAGCTATGAACCCTAATTCAAGTGAGGTATAGTTCAAGAGAGGGTGAGAGAGTCGGGTGAAACACTCAGTTTGAGAGATGGTGAGAGAGTTGGTAGAGAGAACCTAAGTTCTTTTTTTTTTATCAAACAGAGAACCTAAGTTCTTGTTTTTCAAATCAAAAGACAAAAGTCAAGAGACTCACGCTGGAAAGCTAAGTTCATATTTTGTAGTAAACTATGTTACTCTACTTTTACAGGGAACCCTGATTATATTAGAATCTTTTGTTTGTGTACTCTAATAACTTAATTTAAATATATGATTCCAGTTTTGCTGTTTCATTTTGAGGAACAACTAACAAAATTTCTACAAACAAATTACAAAATTATAATTTGACCCAATGTCA